TTTTTTTTTTTCCAATGGTTTTATTTTTTCTTTCACCATAAAATTTTCAGTATAAGTAGAAATTTGATCGGTAGTTAATTTTAGTGATTAGTGATGGTACGTGTAACAGGCAATAGAAGTTTAGAAATGAAAAGAACCGAGATGAATCGGGATGAGAAGGATAGGAGACGAGCAATAAATTTCAGGATGCAAGAGAGGAAGGCGAGAGTGGAAAGGAAGTAAAGAGAGTGACCATATGAATTAACCACCCGTCCATCTGTCCACTCTTCCCATCCATCTATCCCATCTCTGACAACTCCCTTTAAAACTCCCCTAAAACACCATAAAGTTGCCTTCTGTAAACTTTAATCTTTCGATTTTCTATAGCTTTTTGATGAGTTATTAATTATTCCATTACTGGTTTAAAGAAATGGATAGGATTTCTCTTTTCTATCTTTTGAGAAACATTTCGACCTTTGGTTTCAGTTAATTTACGCCCCATTTTCGCTATTGATTCGATTTGACTTCCGATTTTTGATTTCCAGTTCTCAATTTTCCATGTACTGTTTATTCTAATTGATCTAGGAAGAGCCTGTTAATGAAACATTTCAATTTTTGATTTGCAGTTATCGATTTCCGGTGTGTCATCCATTCTGGTTGATTCAGCCCATACAATGATTTCAGTTAATGAATCATTTCAGAATTCAAAATGATTAATTGATCATTTAATTAAAAATTTTCCTCCCTCAAATTTCCTTTGTCTTTTTTTCTGAACTACCTGTTGCTCTCCCACAACTTTCTCGTCGCACATTCCTGCCATTTACATTTTCACGTCTCCTCCTCCTTTTTCGCAATTTGGTCCGCAACCACTTCCGTGTAAGTTCACGTGTTATGTGGTGGTGGATTGCGTGTTATATGGTACGTCACATAGTGTTGTGTGTCACGTGGCGGAGGTTGCGTGTTACGTAATTGAGTGCTAATGATGATGGATTGCGTGTCAGATGATGATAGGTTGCGTGCTACTTAATGGTGGATTGCTTGTTCCGTGATGCACATTTTCAATTGCTACACCCTAACTTTGGACTTACGTGACGGTTACATGTCTATTTATGCATCACATTTCAAGTTCAAAAATGCGAAGTTTTCTTCCTATTGAGCTTGCCTGGCATAGATATGTAAAATAGCGTTAAGTTATTAGCTGTTTGTAGAGTTTACCTTTGCATGTATTTGCTAAATTTTTCTTTGTTATGCGTAGTATCATGTGAAAATGTGAAATTTTATATCAAATTCATATGAATTTGAAGAAATTAACTGAATAGAATTTATTTAAAGGAAGATGAAATGCACAAAAAGATGTAAAATGATTGTATTTAATATAGGATATAAAGGAATGCGAAAATATAGCATTCGAGATGTAATACAAAATATTTTAATGCAGGAAGACTTTCATATTTTAGATGAACGAGGACTATCTCATGAAGTGACCAACCACTTGCAATGTTTTACAGTTACATCGAAAATTGTTTCATTTCTGGTAAAAAAAGTGATTACAAAAGAAATTAAGAGTAACAAATATTTGAATATATTCGTGAGATGCTTTTCAGTTTGTGCAATTTTTTACTTAAGATTACCTGCTGCAGCTGAAAGTAATGAAAATTTGAGTATTTTTTGATGGCTATAAAATGTACCTTGTGATAATTCTTTATCATTATTCAAATTATGTATTTATCAATTTTATTTCTAACTTTAATATGGTTGACCAGTAGGAAGCATTTTTCTTTATAAATGACGCTTTGGCTTCCGTCTTTTTCCTCTTTTTATAGGTCTTTTAACATTTTTACTTCCTATCAACAAATGATGCAGAAATTTGTGTAAGAAAGTTGCGTACTTCAAATGTTATATAATTTCCAGTATAATTTCAAAAAACTCAATGGACAAAAATATGAAAATGCCAACTATATTAATCGATAAATATTAATCTGAAAAGCTACTTTCATGAAGCGTACTTACAGTGTAAAAGGAAAAAAATGGACAAAAAAAAAGAGATAAGATGAGCCGAAGGTTTGTTAAATTTTAAAAATGTTTTAACAAATTTGCCCAAGCGTAGATCTGTCTCGTAATACTTCAGAATTCTCTTATTAATTACGAAATTATAATTAAACAACGGTAACTGAATTTAGTGATTTTGGTGATTTATTTTAAATAATTCCATATTACATGATTTCTTCGAAAAGTCTGGTTAGTGCATGTATATCACCAGGGATGTAGCGTAGGACACTGTAGCATGGAATTTGTGTTTTGTTTTTTAATGATTATTGAAGTTCATAAACACAAGTACACATATATTCTGAAAAATACGTATTATATATTTATTGCTTTGGGAAGTTTTTTTTTTTTCATTTTTTATTAATCAGTAGGTTTCAGTGCTAATGACGGCGAGTTGTTTTTATTCCACATGTTCCAATTTCAATTTACTAAGTACCTTTCATGAAGCTTACATGCAGATTGTTTTATGCTTATCATCTAATGATAATGGTAATGATAGCAATTGCAAGATCACCAGGACTCTTTGTATATCACTGTATTAATTTTGTTGAAATGAATATGCTGACGAATTGTTCTGGACTTTTTCACCCATCAATTTTGATCTCGCAGTGATTAAATATTTCCTTGATTTATATGAAAACTGAAATATTCTAGTCTGATATGATGTAAACATTTAGGATGATTTCTAATCTATACATAATTTAATTTCAACAATTTTTTAGAATTGAATATGAGAGGTGAATTTCTAGTTATTTTTATCTCGTCTTGGTCATTTTAGGCAACTTAGTTTTTTCATTTTCTTCTTTGTTTTTACTTCTCATTTATTGCTAAAACAATGATACACACATGTCAATATTGTGATTAGTTTCAAAAATATGGAGTGATTATATTGCAATTTTTTTCTTGTTCTTTTTTCTTTAAAATTCCATCGATTTTTTTTTGTTGTTTGAAAGAAGGAAAGGAAAGGAGGAAAACAGAAAGTTAATGAAGTTTTATATGAACACTTCAGTAAATTCCTTGCATTTTTCCAAAAGATAATGGAATTTGATTTAATATATTAGTATCCATGTTTTCTCTGTCTATGTCATACTTAAAGAGCAATTGGGTACGATAATTAATTGTAGAATGCTTATTTGTGTTGCCTATTAATGTCTCATGTATGAACAAGTGTAATAAATTACAATAAATCATTTACTTGCCGAACATCGGGATGAAATAATTTACAAAAATGGAAAATTATTTTAGGTTGATTAAGCATCGATTAAACATCGATTACGGACGTTATAAAACATCTGTAATATATTTGGAAGATTCGCCTTCGTTTCAAAAATGACAAATAATTTCGATAAAAAAGACAAACAGCAAGAATTTATTCTATCTAGATGCTACTGTAACTACCATAAAGTTTAGAAAATCAATCGTTGGAATAGATTTAATTTGAAAAAATACGATTTCAATTTCAGATTTCTTCATTTTTCTTTTT